GATGCCGCGAGCGTATGCCAGGGTTGCCGCGAGCGTATGCCAGGGATGCCGCGAGCGTATGCCAGGGATACCGCGAGCGTATGCCAGGGATGCCGTGTCAAAAATGAAAAATTCCGCCTGATCAATGTTTCCCCAACTTTTCTTAGTCGCGGTGCCTTTTTTCAATTAAAATTTTTCCATGGCGCTTTAACCGAAGTACAAGAATGAATATTCCTATTTAAAAGATATTAAAAAAAAAATTGTGCACATTGTTTTTCAGAAAGAAATAATGGTGTAAATTAAATTAATAAAATTACAAAATACTTCTGTAGATAACGAACAAAATCATAGTTTTTTGACATGTTTATATGAAGAACTATGGATCATTGTTACCTGAAGTTGAACAACGCTGGAGCAAAGATTGTTTGAATGTATCCAGAGAAAAACATTCTGTAAAAAGTGCTCATGTTTAGATACTACATGAGAGGTTACCAGAAACATTCAAGGCTGTCTTGAAGTTTTCTCAAACCTCGTTCTTCTCACAAATGGACAGGTGAGTTTCTTCGGTACTTGGTAGTTATATAAGCAAAGATATCCAGATAAATGCCTCTGGGTTTTAATTGGGATATATAACGTGGTTTTTTTTTTTTTTCATATTTCAACAGCTGCATTGCCGGTCAATTACTTTTAGTTAGTTAATATTGCATGGTGTCTGAGAAAGACTGAAGAAATAACCAGAAGAGGTTAAATCAGAAACGAGATCATACTAGATAAAGTAGGCACAGAACCCACTCTAAATTACATGCAAAGACAGCAAATCAAATGGTTTGCAAACTTCGAGAGAATGGCTTCTGATGCTCTACCATACAAGGCATATACCAAAAGAGGAGAAGGGCGTAGAGCCAGAGGTAGACCAAGTACAAAATAGAAAGATAACTTCAGAGACACTCTACAGCACTATGATGTGTTTATGGTCGAAGCAGCCAGAAGAGCACGAAGCAGGACCTTCTATCTCCCTCGACACCCGAAGCGGAAAAGGAGGACGTAAAGAAGAAGAAGAAGAATATTGCATCGATTATGTATTAATGTTAACAGAGTGTACGATTTTAGATTGTTTCATTTAATCCACATCAAGTGTACTTTTTAAATAATATGTAAAGACTGTGTGTTGGGAATATTTAACGTTATTTGCGATACATTATTCTGTTTTACGATATTTTAAAACCTCATATTTTCTTGTTTTCTCGGCCGTTTGAAGTTCCGTACCTTAAAGTATACTTGTTAATGCTTGTATCAAGTCAAAGAATTTTAAACCTAGACAGCATATCACTGGGTAAAGACAGCATAGCTCAGTGAACAGAACCAAGATGCCAAAGTTCCAGGGCACTTATATACCAACTGGCAAGCAATACTCTTGAATACACCAACGCATGTGGGAAGAAGCCTGGACACAACAGATCCCGCCTACGCTGTACGGTCTGGGCTAGTGGATAATGACGAATCTATCTCATTAACACGATTGCGTGAATTGGGAGTAAATCCTGATGAAGCATCTTTATGCCGCCTTCGAGGCCGAGATAAGAAAAAACATGAGCCGGTACTCACCACAAAGTGTCTTCTACCGCAGCGTTGAAAAGAAAACACTATTCCTTTGAAAAAAAAAAATGTACCAATAAGTACACCCAGAAAAAGACCATCATTACGACCACAAAGAAACAGATTATAAACAGTACATTCATACCAACAGTGTAGTTAGGTTAGTTGCGTATCCTTTGCAGGATGTTGCAAAACCAACCCCAATAGCCCCTGGCTGTTGTATGGTTTTTCTAGGCAAATTTACGTCCAGTAGTTTGCCATTTCTTTCAACAGTGTAGTAGAAAGGAAATTTCGCCCCACCAGTACATCACACAGAGTGATAAAACACCCGGTGTCACAAAGTGCCACCATACGGACTAGATCACCCGTGGAGAGGTCCCAGATACCGCATTCAACCTGTAGGCTATATTTGCGGCCCCAGGCAAAAGCCGGAATAGGGCTTTGAAATAACGAAAAATGGCGGCCCACATGGGGATGACTGTAGTTGACTACCAACCGTGTGTTGTCAATGCCAACTTGGCCATTGCCAAAGGCTAATCTACGTAAAGTTAACACGTGTGAAATGAGATACCCGAGGAAAGCCGCCAACTTAACTATCTGAGAGAGGTGAGAAACGATACCGCTACACAGATTGTGGTAACAACACTTTGCACCACATTCGCCAGAAGCCGCAGATCAAATTGTTCGGCCCTATCTTTAGATAGACCTAACAACTACCAGCTAACGTTAAATCTGGGGTGTGTAGGTCCGCAAGCCAATTTAGAATTATTAAACTTTTCGTTGGCGGTAAAAAAAAAAAAAAATCCCGTATAAACATCAAACTCAGATTTCCCTGTAACACATTTGAATTTGATAATATAAGGTTATCGCTAGCTTCACCTCTGGCCAGACACACTCACACATTGAATATCACAGTATCGCAGAGATCAAGAATAGAATATGATAGGCCAAAACTGCATTTTACAAAATGAAGAAAACTGTGTGCAATAAATACATGTCATTGCAGATTTGGAAAAGAATTCTCGCATGTTATTTAGAACCAGTTTAAACATACGGCTGTGAAGCCTGGACAATTAATGAACAAGCCGAACAATATCTTGAGGCCGCGGAGATGTGGTTTCACGGAAGAATCTTTAGAATTTTGTGTACAGCTAAGTAGAGCAACCCAGATGTTTTGAAAGAGGGGAATGCTTGAAGACAACTTATCACAAACATCAGAAAGAGACAGTAATCATTTGTTCGTCTTGTTAAGAGAAGAGGGAACATGGAATATGTTGTGACCACTGGAAAGATCTGCGGGGAAAAAAAAATACAGAAGAAGACAGTGAAAAGATTCTTCACAAACTTTTGTCATTGCATTGAGGGGTGTCAACACATGAACTGATCCACGCAGTTGAGGATTAAAGATTGTGGAGAGGCATGATCGCCCACGCCAGTCGACAAGGCACCTAATGATAATGATGATGATATTATTGAGGCAAATGTAAAAGAAAAGGGGGGGGGGGGGACAGAATATTTAGTAATTTTACAGCCTCACAGTCCAGTAAAACTTGTTCCGCGGGTCATGTTTGGGTCACGGGCCGTAGTTTGCCCACCCCGGCACTAACCTAGATCCAGGTGAGAGCAGGAGGGCGCCAAACGAGAACACACATTGATGCAAATAAAGACATTACACATCCTCACGGAGCGACAGTGGCCAGTGTTTACCCATCGAGCTCTGCGCGGCAAACGGATTCCGCTGGCACCGCTCCTTGGCACAGTTATAGGTTGGTGATAGTGAATCTTTGATAATGTCCAGTAAATGGGACAGTCCTCAGACAATGATCTTAGAGACTTGCCCAAACAAACACCCTTACGGGAAACCAGAGAACTAAATATCTTGACTTTAATTTGCCCACTAACTCTCACTCACTCACTCACTTTGACTCACTCATGCACTCATTTACTCACTCTCATTCACTCACTCTCACTCACTCACCCACTCACTCTCATTTACTCACTCACTTTGACTCATTCATGCACTCACTTGCTCACTCACACTCACTCTCTCACTCGCTCGCTCACTCACTCACTCGCTCACTCGCTCACTCACTCACGCTCACTCACTCACTCGCTCGCTCACTCTCACTCACTCACTCACTCTCATTCACTCACTCTCACTCACTCACCCGCTCACTCTCATTTACTCACTCACTTTGACTCATTCATGCACTCACTTGCTCACTCACTCACACTCACTCACTCGCTCACTCACTCGCTCGCTCACTCACTCGCTCACTCACTCACTCGCTCACTCGCTCACTCACTCACGCTCACTCACTCGCTCGCTCGCTCACTCACTCACTCACTCGCTCGCTCACTCGCTCGCTCACTCACTCACTCACTCGCTCACTCACTCACCCTCACTCTCACTCACTCACTCACATTCACTCACTCACTCACTGACAGTGGGGACTGTACAGTCTTTATTTAATGCCTGTTGTAGCTGATCCTGCAGTGTCCTGTCCTTAGACGGACAATTGTTGTAAATTGCTTTCTGTTAAGTCTGCTGGTGGGGTCTTGTGGTTGTCGGCTGTTGGTTTTCTTCTCTTCACAGTTCCTTGTATTTCCCCTTGATAAGTATTTTCGCCAGTTTCTTCAAATGGCAGTTTTCCCATGTGGGTTCTTGGCCGCCATATTGGGGTAAAAGAGAATACGCCAACTGCCTCCCAAACAAGCATGTCAAAAAGGCGAATAATCAGAGGTGTTTCCTTCGATGTTGAAGTGCGTCTGTCTTAGAGGTGAAAAACCAACAGTCTGCATTCAGGTAAGTCAGAACCAACAGTCTGCATTCAAGTAAGTCAGAACCAACAGTCTGCATTCAAGTAAGCCAGAACCAACAGTCTGCATACCCACACACACACACACACACACAAAACCAGATCTGCAAAACAGATGAGCAAGCAAAACTCAAGTTCTGGAACAAGGCTAAAGCACAGAGGTAGACAAACAGAACTTTCCGCTGGAGTTTAGAGCCAGTGAAGAAGAAGAAGAAGAAGAAGAAGAAGAAGAAGAAGAGGAGGAGGAAAAAGAAGAATTGGCAATTGATCTGATCTTCTGTGGCAAAATATAAAAAAAAAAAGAATACTTTGTTATGCCATCATGTGTATCGGGCGTATAGGGCTAGACCTATATTCTATAGCCCAATCAGCACTCAGTGGGTGATACGGTCAACATCACGCCAGTCACCTTTACCTCCAAAGACTTTACCTGGTAACTAGATAAAGCTATCTCGACATGGGAGCCAATGTCATCTTTGACACAATCCAGCTTGATGCAGATTTGAACCCCCAACCTTCAGGTGAGCTTCTAACCTTTACACCATGGCAACTGCCTGCGAAATAAATAACTATTCCTTAAATAATTGTATATTCTCCATCCCACAGCGGCGAGGAGCCCACAGAGATGACCTCCATGACCTCAGGGGAGGCAGGAGTGTCCTCATCCGAGGAGTCAGTGGCGGTGCCTCTAAATGGCACAGAGAGTAGTCCAGCTGCTGTTCAGAGAAAGTCCTTGGTCAAATCCTACCTGAAATCCCCACAAGGAAGATGTAAGTGTAATTGTCATTGACAGTTGTTTCAGAGGAAAGTGAATTTAAGAGACTTTTAAGAAGTGGATAAATAGACCAGGGACAGACATCATCATCATCATCATTAAGTGCCTTGCCAGCTGGCATAGGTGTTCATGCATCTTCACAGATCTTGGTCTTTGGTGTTCGGGATCAATTCCACTGATGATATTCCTCCATGCCACTGTCTTAAACCATCCCTCCTCATTTCTCTTTGTCTATCCGGAGGGTTCAGGCAGGTTCATCACAGAGAAGCAGCATTCTTATGTGTGCTGAACCTTGGCGGATTCAAAATGAGTGGCAAAGTCACTCAGAGTCATAAGGTGGTTTTCCTGTACAAGGCCTCAATCTCAAGGGTCATTACTTTGCATGCCTGAACTGGTCATAAAAAAGTCTGTCATAGAAGTCACAACATTTTTAAGGAAATCTTGTCTAAAAGGAATTAGTTTCATTTTTGGACCAGGGTATTTTGGTGTAAGAGGTAATGAACGAGTAGACTGACTTGCTGGCAGGGCTACGGTAGGTACAGGAAAAGTGATGGACCGGGCCAGACATTCTCAATGCTGTCAAGGAGGCAGGATGAGAATTGATTCAGCAGATGATGTTGAACTGGCAACACTCAAAAGACTTCAAGAACTTTAGTCAAAAGAGGTGTTGCCAAACAATAACATTATACAGGTAGCCAAAGAAGAATAGTAAACCAACACAAAAACTGGGGTTATCAGTAGCTACCCGCTGAGGGATATACTGAAGATGGGATCTGAGGGCTTATGGACTTGTCAAATGTTCAGTGAGGGTAATCTGTCGATTAACTAACCAACTAACCTGATGGACTGATAGGTCCATCATTATACTGGATCTTCAGCCACTGATTAATTTCTTTAGGCTTCACTTCTTCACTGATTAAAAAACCCACACACAAAAATCAAATAACAAAATGTTGCTTCTCCTTGGTGCATATCAAAAGTGTGGTGGCCATCTTTAAACTGTCCTTATGACTTCACCATGTTCATCTGCAGCATGATACCAAGTGCTTAACACTCTCTACATCCTTAACAACAATACTAACATATTTCAAGACAAGGGAATGTTTGTTATTATTTCTATCACACCTTTAAGGTTTTCACTTGTAGCCCACTCCTATTTTGCAAAAAAAATATTTTTCTCTTCTTTTATATAGCCCATGACCAAAGACTGTCTCCTTCTGATGTGAGACAAAAGACTGATTGAATTTAAATATAAAAAGACAGAGAAATTATATTCACATGCATATTTCAGTTGTACAAAATATGATAATTTCATTTTAGCTCACCCCTAACATGGGGAACCACAGAATCACCGGGAAAGTCCAATATTATAGGAGTGTTACAGTTTGAAGTGAACAGTAACTAACCCCAATGCTAACCCTTAACCCAACACCCCTATAGTATTGGACTTTCCCCAAAATTCCGGGTTTTTTCCTGTGTTTGAGGTGAGCTAAACTGAAAGTACCTAGATTGTATAGGCAGACTTAATAAGGACGTCCAAGAAAAACCCAAAGGCAAACATTGATGAGAGGGACCAAAGCTGCTGGACTGGGTTCTATCCATGATATCGAACTGATTACACAGGATAAAACTGAATGATGGAATAGTGAGTGAGCCCTATGTGATATTTAATGGCACTACAGGAGAATGGATGGGGGAAAAATAGACAGACTTATTAGCCAGACAGCCATGCAGGCAGAGAGAAAGAAAGATATGTGGTTGGGTATACAGGCAGATAGGTTGTTATGTGGAAGGAGGGGCAGGCATACAGACATACAGACTGATAGATAACAGACATAAAAGACAGAGAGAAACAAAAAGAGATAGACAGAAAGACGTACAGACAGACAGATGGACATACATACATACATACATACATACATACATACATACATACATTACATATGTACGTACGTACGTGCGTGCATGCATTGTGTGCGTGCGTGCGTGCACGGACGGACGGACAGACAGACAGACAGATAGATAAGGCAGGCAGTTAGTTGGCAGAGAGACTGACAGATGGGCATATAGATGGATTGACAGCCAAGCCAGTCACATATAAATAAGACAAATATACAGATGTTAATAACACTTATACAAATACTTTGATTAACCACACGTCTACAGATACATCATATGTACATTTAAAAAAAAAGATACATATATAGACAGACAATCATGCATGCAGACAGACAGACAGACAGTGGGTCAGCCAGTTATAGCAAGTAATATATAATAGGCTGAAACAGATAATACGGAGTGGTATGTTATTAGACAATTGATGGGGGCTTCCTTGTCTCGAGGCATGGTGTCCGCCTGGAGTGCTAGAGGTTATGGGTGCAATCCCCGGTAAGGGCTGGGGGTTTTTTACGGGGACTTGGACTTCTAGTAATTTCCACTGGTCTCTGGGCAGTGATATCGGACGCCCGTGTGCATTGTTGCGGACGTAAAAAAATCCCTTGGCAGTTGGAAATTGTAAAGAGTAACCTAACGGCACTGCCCGGGCAAAATCTGGAGTTAAAAATCTACCAAATATACTTCAGGATCCTCACCAGTGCAACAGAGCCTGTGTACTGTGCTGAGCTTCTTCAGACTCAGACTTGAGTTAAAAGAAGAACGGAGCACTTATGGGTTACTAGCCGTGTGCCATGATGTTGATCCATTGTTCAAACCAAAAACCAAACTAGATAATTGATCTTATGAGTTTGCTCATAATGTGTTGCTAATCTGTTTCTTCACAGGCGTGTTTGCTGTAGTCTTTGGTACACTTGCAGTTCTGTCTGCTTATGTTGTATCCAAGTTAATCATGGGTAGGTGAATTCACTACAACATTTTGTTAAAAAAGCATTATTATGAATTTTAACTAGGCATCTATTTCTGAATCTGAAGGGAAAAAAACAAAAACAACCTAAAATAATGTCTACAATGAATACAGCACACCAACCATGTATTAACTCTTTCAGGCCCATAAATTTTGACACACTTGACTCACATTGATTTCCCTTTACAAAAACTGCAGAAAGGGTGGTGTACAGTAATGGCAGTTGTTAGGTTTTTCTAGGCAAATCTACGTAAATTTTCTTTCACAATTAAAAACATCTGACTGAAACAATTTCAGTGATTCAGTTGCAGAAAGACGCATTGTGCGATTTGTACTTGTAGTTAGAACTTTGGTATCCATGATGTCGAACAGGAAATTAGAAAATGCACTGTCTGGAATTGACGCTAGCAATCACACGTTGGCAAATGAAGACTCCCATACAAAGACAAATGTTAGAGTAACCTTCCCTGAATGCTTTAAGGTAGTTCCAAACATTAAAAACAAATACGGAGCTGTATGTGAATCAATATGTACGCGGCACACGATTGACGCTGACAGTGTTGTTTGGGCAAATCAGAACTTCTCAATCAACACTCACAGCGTTGCTCGAGCCTCAAAGAGTTAAAAGTATTCAACTCGACAACTAAGAGATTGAACATTTCAAAAGTTTTAAATATTTAGCTCAATAATGAATAACAGCAGCAACTGTTAAAAAAAGTCAGAAAAAGACTTGCTTTAGAAATGCAGAGGCTAAACAGCATAGAGAACCCATAGCACAGGATCTGCAAGCAAGTTTAAGTAAACAATTTTGAGATCCTGCATTTTCTTCATGGCAGCTTATGGATGTGAGTCACGGACTTTTACTTTGTCCTTGAAGAAGAAAACTGTGAGCTTTTGAAATGTAATGCTACATAAAAATTCTTAGAATGGACCAAGAAGTGGAAAAACATCGTCATCCTGCATGACTTGAACATCAAGGAGAACTGGCTCATAAACAGCATCTTCTCCTGAAAGCTGAGGTACATTGGACATGTCACGCATTATGTGGATCTGGAGAGAACAGTGCTGGACACTGCAGCAGTTTCCAGAAAACGAGGGAGAGGCCAGGCTCCACGCATGTGGATACAGAACATTGAAGATGCTCTTCTGGGATGGTCACAGGTAGTGAGCATACTTTAGATCTTTTCTCCAGGCCGTGCCGGTGTAGTTGGTAATGAATCGGCAGACAATTGTCTGAATTTGCACCGCTGGGTGGTGAATTGATACATGACAAGGCAGATGGGGTCAAGGCCCTTTGGGAACAAGCAACGGAATCAGTAGAGAAAGAAGATTACTATGGCCTGGAGAGCCTGAGGTACCTGGGTGTAACCAGAGGGTCTGGCCGGCTCAATACACTGAGAGGAAAGGCAGGACGGACATATAACCAGATTGTGACTAGTACCATCAGTATTGGAACTCTGTGTTGGCTGCTGAAGATGAGGATGGAGCACACATGGGAATGCTCCCAGTGCTGCGACGTCAGTTCTTGACAACTGAACTGAAGTTGGCTATGGAAGAGCACATGACTGGAGAATTGGCTAGAGAAAGAAAGCCTTTCAGATTTGCAGAGAAGAGAGTTTAAATGAGGTTCTGTAAAGGACATGCTAATTGATTGATTGAATTAAGAGTGGCGCTTGTGATTTGTAAAACTTGAGAACTGATGTGGGGCTTGTGAGTTGTCTTTTTGTTTTGTTCGCTTGAAATAAATAATCTATATCTGCAATGCTGTCTCTATGCACTTCACTGTCTTTTGTAATTCACTCAGTGAACAAAATTATTATGGCCTAGAGAGAATGAGGTACCTGGGTGTTACTAGAGGGTCTGGCCGACTCATTACACTCAGAAGAAAGGCAAGACAGACATATAACCAGATTGTGACCAGTACCATCAGTATTGGAACTCTGCGCTGGCTGCTGAAGATGAGGATGGAGCACACATGGGAATGCCCCGAGTGCTGTGATGTCAATTCTTGACTCAACTCACTTAGCGACTCGTAAAGTTTGGCTTCAACCAGTGTCTCTCTTAACCAGAAGTTTTTTTCTGAAAATATTTTTTTTATTTTTTTGTTTCGTTCAAGTATCCAGAAACCATGAATTGTAAACCCTTAGGCTGGGTACTGTGGATATTGCAACCCTTCGGCCTTGATTCCATGACAAGTACCGTAAATCTGGGAGAAATGTGACTTTTCTGCCTATCCCCGGGCGTGAACCCGGACTACAAGGAGTTTGTCACCCAGTTGCCACTGTCTAATTTAGCCAACTGTACAGCGAGCCTGACCTGAGAATGTTGTAATTGGGACAATCTTCTTGTGAGTTGTAAAACTTGTGATCTTTTTGAGAAATCATGAGTTGTATACAGTAATGTTAATATTTATCTCCCTTTCTCACAGATTTCTGTATTCTTTTAAAACTATTTTACAGGTTCTGTTTTTCCCTTTTCAGGTCTGATGTTCATCAACGCCTGCCATATGGACCCTTTTATTCCAATTTATCTTGTCACAAGTGCTGCCTTATTTATCACATTTGTTATCATTCTTATTATCATCATAGTCAGATGTCGAAGAGAAGAGAATGATGACCGGGTGTCCCCTGCACACCTGGTCACTTTTGTATATTTCTTTATCCACCTGGTTCTTCAGCTAGCAGGTGAGTGGAAGTTGTTATTTAATTCTTCTTGATTCGCTGTTGGACTGCACATTAATAATTAATTTTTCATGTTGCGTTGTTAAGTTTTACATAAATACTGAATTATCCTTGATTCTAGGTTGGTTATAGAATAATGAATAATTCTTCTTGATTTATTGTTAAGTTTACATTAATGATTATTCTTGATTACTTTTTGAGTTTACATTAATGATTATTCTTGATTTATTTTCGAGTTTTGCATTTCTGATTAACTTCACATTATTCATTGTTGAGTTTGCATTAACTAGTAATTTTCCTTAAATTTTTTTGTCGTTTACATTAAATCTTTCATTACGACATTTTTTTTCTTGAATTTGGACAGCATTAACTTTGAGCGGAAAGTTTTTTTACTGAAACATGACAAAACTAAAACTTTCCTGAAGAAAAAGTATTGGCTGCATAGGGACATAAAATACATCAAATTAAAGAGAAATGAGTGCAGAATAAATCTAAATTATAGATGTCAGTATTAAAACAAAATGTTATTAAAATCACACAACAGTCAAGGATGTCAGACACAGGTGAAGATTATTTAAACACAAAAATTCACATGCCTTCCCTGTTCAATTATATATCAGCTATTGTTTATTTGAAGCAATCAACTTAAATACTTTGGATTTTATGACCATTTTTGCATGACATGTCAGATTTCACAACAACCAAAATCAGGAAAAAGCTGATCAAAACAGGGATGGTCCAACTGAGATATTTTGTTCAATCTTCATCCTAACCTAAATTATCGGCAGTAGGCTTGGTACATGCATTCTCAGCCATAATAACAAGCCTGCATATCTGGCTGAGATTCATCAATGACAGGCTAGCATAAACAGTTTTAGACCTTTTCCCTTATCATTTGGTTTGGAAAAATAATTTAAAAATTGTAAATAACCCAATTAATTTCAAACAAATCAGAAAGTCACACAAACACCATGCTGCCCTTCAAAAATGAAAGGGCTTCATTTCGCTAATTCTAATTTTTCAAAACATATGCATACAAATTTGTTTTCCCAGCAAACAAAACAATATTAGAGTGTCTCTATGAAGCGCCACTATAGTGGTGAATAGTCTAAACAGGATGGATTCAAAAGCCACTTAAGTGCCAACCAGTCCGTAAAGAGTTGATCATTTTTTTCCCTACTTTATTGTTGATTTTATATTTCTGATTAATTCTTCATGATTCTTTGTTTGCAAATATTTCTCAATACTATTTATCAACCAATCACGTGCCAACTCCACAGTGAAGGTGGGCTTCACTGGATCTCCAAAATACTCTGTCTCTTGAAGTGGTTGTACACTCTTCCACAGACTGTTGTTCGTACATCTCTTGATGTGGTCCGTGTATCATTATCTACTTCTTGCTCTCTTGCAATCGACTTTTCCCTCCAGAATGGCTTTTAAAAGAGTGAAATGTGTGTAATGTGTGTAATGTGTCTTTTAGGAGCCGCTGTGGTGTAGCAGCTAGGCACTCAACTGCATATCCGAAGGTTGTGGGTTCAGGCCCTGACGGAACCAGACATTTTGTTTTTCAAAAACTGTATTGGCTTCCAGGTCAGCTCAGTTTTAACTCTTTGAGTCCCAAGGAACGCATCATACGTTCATAGGTTACTGCCTGGAAGCCCAATGAACGCATGATGCGCCGATTTTACGTCTCTCTCGACTACCCCTTGGGCCTGTGATGCTAAACCCTCTGGGACTCAAAGAGTTAAATGGGTACTAGGTAGAATCCTAGGGTTTTGGCCAGTGTGATGTTGACCCAGTTTCAACTGGTCTATAAAATATAGGTCTCGCCTTATGTGCCCAATACGTCTGAAGGCGTGGAAAAAGGGTCATTTCTGTGTCTTTTAATGTGACTGAAATATCTCGCTTGTCTCTTTTTTAATTTCTTCAGAACCTCTGTATTTGATTGTATTTGTTTTCATGAAATCTTCATAATCATCATCATCCTTTCTATGCCGTTAGACGTCACATAGGGCTCACATTTAATTCCCCCACTCTTGTCTTTTGCATGCAGCTCTCTCCATTTCCTACATGTAGCTGAGCCCATTGTTGTGATCTCCTTAGTGGAGGTAATCTACGTAGAGTGTTGCCAGGTGAAAAAGAAGAGAATAGGGGCTTTTGAGCTGAAATGCCATAGAAAGATTCTCAGAATATCTTAGACAAAGAAAAGGAGAAATACTGACATCTTGAAATATCTGAACATCAAGGAAGATTGGCTAATAAACAACATACTGTCTCGGAAGCTGAAATATTTTGGTCATATCAAGCGCCACGACAGATTGGAAAAAAATATAGCAGAAGGCATGGTACCAGGAAGGAGGGGCAGTGGCAGACCGACACGAAGATGGGCACAGGATATAAGTGACTCCTTGAGTGTGAAAGTATATGAGGCAGGAGAACTGGCGAGAGACCAAGTTTCTTTCAGGCAGACTGTGATGAGAGCGACGTTCTGCAAAGGACCTGCTACATGATGATGATGATGATGAGCTCAGCCCAGCACTTCAAGCCTCTTGTAAGAATGTTCTTCTTTATGTTTCCCTTGGACGTCCTCTTTTTTTTTCTCAGACTGTTTGTTTCTCATTTCAGTGCTTGTTTTGTAAATTGTAAATATTATTCTTACTATTCATGTTTCTTTCCTTCTAGGAAGTGTATGTGTAATCAGAACCAGGAATCTCTTCATGGAAGCCATGCCTGAAGACCAGATCCTTCGCACTGCTCAGTGCGATGAACTTCTGTTGACATACTCCTTTGGAGTTGTTATTTTCGAGCTCATCCTTTCATGCCTGCTGTTCATTTTTGCAGTGATCTCCTTGGTGGAGGTAATCTACATCGAGTGTTGCCAGGTGAAAAAACAGAAAAAGACTCCAGCAAGTCGATAACACAGCCCAAATACTGACTGAAATAGGTTGAGCTTACTTTAAAAATATTGACTGTATTCAGTTGAAATGACTGACTTCCGAAATACTGACTGCAGTTGGTCGACAAAACTTAAGATGCTGTGACTTTGATAATTTGTGAATATTTTAAAAATAATGACCAGTGTACAGTTAAATATATTTCTGAAATAACAACTTTGCCGATGGAAAAAATTTGTCCCAGGCGATGACTTTAGCAAGTGAATATCACAGTGACTTCAAGGAATCAGATTTACTTATGGAGCATGTCCTTGTAGGTTCTGCAACCCCATTTGTTTGTTTTTAAATTTAATGGAGTTACTGCCCCTTAATAACATGTTATAAAAGGTAAGTAATTATAGCTCTGTTGAAATCTTGAATGTACTGGGGTAAAAGGTTGAGATATTGTAGCCTAGCTGTAAACCACAGTGTGGCAGCCACCCTTTTGTAGAAGAAGTTAATATTTATAAAATAACGGCTTGTGTATATTTACAAATATTTATGTAGCCATGAATTTGATAATGGAAAACACTTAAAATGTTTAAAAAACTATGACTTTGTCAATGGAAAATGCTGAAAATATTTATGAAACTATGATTTGTCCATGGGAAATGCTTAAAATATTTCTGAAACTAAGATTTGTCTTCAGAAAATTTTTAAGATATTTTTTGAAACTGCGACTTTGTCAATGAAAAATCCTTAAAATATTTCTGAAACTATGATTTGTCCATGGAAAATGTTTAAAATATTTTTGAAACTATGATTTGACCATGGAAAATGCTTAAAATAGTTCTGAAACTGATTTATCCATGGACAATTTTAAAAATATTTTTAAAACTGATTTATGCATGGAAAATATTTAAAATATTTTTGAAACTATGATTTGACATTTGAAATGTTTCTGAGATGTTGAATTTAACAAGTGGATAGCACCTAGGAAACACTGACTTCAGTGAGTCAGTAATACTTGTGCCACGGCCTCTTGTAAGTTGATGGATTCTGAAACAATAACTTTATCTAGTGGATAATATCTATGACATAATGACTTCATTACCAGGAAATTAACCCGGTCAACAAAAACTTGATGGTGTTGAATGTATTAGCTGAAATGTTCAAACATCATAGCTTTGCTGCAAACTGGCACAAAGCAATTATCTCACTCGGATGACAAGAAGAAGATGATAACCTCATCAAGACAGTATTACTGCTGAAACAAAAGAGTTATCAATGAATGAATCAATCCAGAATTTATGTCATTGCACAATGGACATTCCCACATGAGATCCATCCTCTTTCTCAGCAGCTGATGAAGAGTTCCCTAATCATGGCACTGGTTGCATCTGGCTGAAAGTCAGTCTTCCTTTCCCCTAAGTGTTAGAACCAATGAGATCCTCTAACCCTTTGCAGATAGAGCTTTTTTTGGAGTTTCAGTGCCAAAGAGACGGAGCCTTTGGGAGGGAATTCTCTTAGTTTACACACCAAAAATAATTTTAAAAAAAATTAAGTCTTTAATTAACACATATGAAACATAATCATGTAGGAAATTATATGGGCTAACAGAGTATTTATAAATCAAACTGAAATCTCTACATTTATTCAAATTAAATAATAATACAAACCTGACAAATTTGGGTGAATTTATTTTATGGATGAAACCTGAATAAGTCCTAAGGCCGTTGAACTTAAATGTTGCAGAACGTTTCTCCGCATACCAAAGACCAAGAAGAAAAAAAATACCAACATCCAACATCATCTGAGCATTGAGCAGAATTGGCTCATAAACAGCATCCTGTCCTGAAAGCTGAAGTATTTTGGTCATGTGAAACATCATGGAGGCCTGGAGAGAGTGGTGATGGAGGGTAACCAATTCTGGAATATGAAGGGGAGGCAGGCCTACGTGAAGGTGGAAACAAAACATTAAAGATGCATTGGCTATGAAAGCACATTGATTGAGCTGGACAACTAGATAAAGAAAGAGAAACTTTCAGGTGCCCAGTGATAGGAGCAACATTTCGTAAAGGACTTGCTGACTGATTCTGATATGGGTTTATTTTTGGAACTGTATATGTATTACAGTATAAAAAGTCTATCGTTTAGCACCAGGAAAAGGAAATTAAAATTGAAATTTTGAGAGCATGCATCTTCCCTGTAGCAACATATGAATGTGAGTCGTGAAATATCTCCAATATCTTAAGAAAGAAAAGAGGGGCTTTTGAGGTGAAATGCTATAAAAAGATTCTCAGACTATCATGGACAGAGAAGAGAAGAAATACTGACATTTTAAAACAGCTAAACACGAGGGAAGATTGTCTAATAAACAGCATCCTGTCTCGGAAGCTGTAATATTCAAGTTATATCAAGCACCATGGTTCACTAGAAAATTAAAAGCAGAAGGCATGGTACCAGGAAGGAGGGGCAGAGGCCGACCAGCACAAAGCAGGTACAGAGTATAAGTGACTCCTAGAATATGAAAGTACATGAGGTGGGAAAGAGACCGAGTTTCTTTCAGGCAAACCGCTATGAGAGCGACGTTTTACAAAGGACTTGCTACATGACGATGAATGTGTATTGTATATAAATCACATCATTCATATTTGTTAGAAAAGACTTGATGTCTGCACCACAATCCATTTCTAATATTGTATAAATCGACACAATCAATACAATGAATCAAACCACATATACATGTTTCAGAGGTGGACATTGTAACCACTGAACCATTCAATCATGTGTGTATGTGAGTGTGTTAGTTAAGGCCAGTGGTTTTCAACCTGGATGGAATGCCCGCTCCTCCCCGCCTAGGCATGCACAAGCAGGTTTCAAGGGGGCGTCAAGCAATTTTGAAATTAAGTCCATTTGTACCCGAAATACTAACAGTTTTTTTAGTTTAATTATGTGTGGATCGGAAGGCATGGGTTCGGGTCCTGGCAGAACCAGGTTTTCTTCAAGAATGATCTTGCCTCCCAAGTCAACCCAGCGTTGAGTGGGTACCAGGTACAAGCCTAGGAAGTAAAGGTGCCCGGCGTGATGTTGGCCACATCACCAACCAAGTGCCGATTTGTATTTAAAATAAAGGTCGAACCCTATGTGCACAATTTGCCCAAAGGCATGGAAAAGGGTCCTAAATATATTTTAAAGGCTGTTTAACTCTTTCGGTCCCAGGGGGTTTAGCATCAGAGACCCAAGGGGTAGTCAAGAGACATAAAATCGGTACATCTTACGTGCACTGGCTTCTAGGTAGGAACCTATGAACGTATGATGCGTTCCACGGGACTGAAAGAGTTAAAAAGAATGTTACAAGCAGCTTGTAATCTGCCTCTTTTTAATCACCTGTTTTTAAAGTTTAAAAAAAGGGGGGGGGGGGGGTAACAGCGTGGTGCAAGTTTTGCCATATATTCAAAGGGGCACCAGCTGAAAAATGTTGAAAGTGACCGCTTTAGATGATTATCTCATGGATTAAATCCCCTTGCTTAATGTGTATATGTATATACAATTGATATGCATTTTTGTACTCAATTCATAATATTTGTGTTAGTTGAATACGTTTTTTTCTGCACGTAATTCGCTGTTAGTTAAGATGCAGTTCTTTGCAATATGTAGGGGTTAGTCCCTGGTTATTCATTCACTTCTGGTTTTTCAACTTGTTTCAGGAGGGTTATCTGTCGTTTTGATGCGCGACACATTTTTTCAATTTTTTTGTTATTTTAAAGCCCCACGGAGGCTGTGGCCGGGGGCCCTAATATAACCTAATGGTTGAACAGGGTTTCTGAGACCTCTCACCAGGTGATCCTCATCTGCATGGTGGCACTTTGTGTCACCAGGTGTTTATCGCTTGGTGGATGTCCTGGTGGGGTTGAATCTCAGTCACTTGTTCCAGTTTTACGTGCACCTCTTTTTTACAGATTTGGATTATTTGTAGGCAGACTGCTGGTTCCTTACCTCTCACGCAGATTTACCCCAAGTTTAAAGGATTGATTGGCACCCTTCCATCTTTCTAGACAATATTGTGCTATGAGGAGGCGTGGGACTCACTGCCCATGGTGATGGTGAGTGTGACTAGCAAGACCCAGTCTTCCACAATTATAGCGTGGGATTTCAGGACCGTTGTTTTCAACATCTGTGTTTAGTGTGGGTTTCTTCTCAGAGGCTCAGCTCTCATTCTTTCTGCAGTCACTTCTTCCTTCATTCTCATTCCTTGCCGATGTAACCCCTCTACACAACACAGCCCGTGGCTTTTGTTCCCACTAGTCAACCACAATTTATATAGCACTAGCTGTACCTGGCCACGCGTTGCTGTGGCATAGTTTGGCTAAATGGAAATGAAAGAAAATAGAAATTGCACGTGTCTAATACAATCATTGTCTGCTCAGATATAGAGATAGTCTTTGCTCCCCCCCCCCCTCCACCCTCACCATCACTACGAAATCCACCTACTACTCTCTCCCTCATCAAAGGTTTTTGGAAAAGAAAGACAATGGAAATCGCACGTGTCTAATATAGTTGATGTCGTAATTATTCTCTGCACAGATATAGAGATAGTCTGGTTTTCCAACTTTAGAACACGCACCTCATAATTGTGTCCTTATATTAGTGGTCATTTAAATGGTGTTATTAGCACAGTAACAAAAATGGTTATTTGGTTATCACATGCTAAAGCTGTTTGTATTTTTATAGGAGACAGAAGTAAAGCTACAACTGTACTTGTAAATAACAAAGTAAGTCGTAAAAAATAGAAAAGCGGAGGTAAAATAGTAAAATATAAACAAATTAGGTAATGAGAACTTGAAAATTACGTGTAAAGCTCTTTAAGTTCTCTTAAATTTAAGTCATTACCCCCTCTCCTCCCCTCTTCCACCGACTACTGCTCTCTCCCTCTTCGAAATATTTGAAAATCATTACCTGGCGATATTTTGTTGTTGCTGTAACTGACATTGACATCCCTGTCCATCCGAACTAAAATGGGAAGCAGGAATTGTAATAGGTAG